CCAGGATCACGCCCTAGGCTGCAGGCGGCGCTGAACCGCTGCGCCACCAGGGCTGCCCGTGTTGGTGATTTTAAAAGAATAGTTCTGGAAGCTGGCTGAGTTTATCTCAGAAGAAAAATTTGTGTATGATTTACCCTCATTATTTGAAACACATTAGAAAAGAAAACAACCCTGTAGATATCAGAATACTAAATGGAAGATAACCTTATTTCCTTATTGGTAATTAAAATTAAAAACAATAGATAAAATGTCAAAGTTGTATGTATTTACTTACAATATTTTGTTACAAACTGTAAAACATGAAGTATACACAATGATTAAGAGCAATTTGTTCTGTGATTTGGGATATTTTTGATAATCTGAATCCTATGTAGGCTGCATTCATAGAGTAAATATTTCAGTACAGGTAATGCTAGAAAAGATGTAAGGATTTAGGTGTAGTAATGTGTGCTCATACAACTAAGATCTTTCTCTAAATGCCCTGGACCAGTTTGACTTGTAGCACTGTTTGTGAACACACAATTCTTTGTGTTAAAAAAAAAAAAAAAAAGAATCACTGAAATGATACATGTTGAAACAAAATCCAAGGAATATAGAAGTAGCTATTGTGAAGAGTACATTTTTCCTTAACCCTCCTCTAATCTCCTTCCACTTTCAGGAATTTGGTAGTTACTTTATAGACTGTTATCTATAGAAAATCTTTTTAACTGAATTATTTGTATCCCCTTCCCTCTTTTATATTCTATATTTTACACCATAAATTTTAAATTCAAGACAGTATTATATAAATCATGCTAGTGATAACCTAGGACATTAAATTCTAGTTTTCCCCCTTAAGGAGTTAAAACGTTTTGTTTCTGCTAAGATAGTTCAAGTTGTAGAAATAATTGAAGCCTAAAAAGTTTTAGTGTCAGAACCTGGGCTTCTATCTCCTGATCTTGCCTTTTGGATCAACGCTCATTGTCTGCTTAATAATGCAGCCAAAGGTGTGTGGCCTCATGGAGTCTAGCAGCTTTGGGAGAAGGATCTGCATGTAGGCCTGATACCCTTTGAGTCATAGATAATACTAGCGGTTCTTATTCTAAAATCCCTTCATCCTAGAACTGAAAGCACAAATAACATTTTTAAATTCATATAACTAGCATGAAAAATGTGACCATTATAAATTACTGGGGTATTTTCAGTAGGTGTGGTATGTCTGAATTCTTTATTTAGTGTTTTTCCCATTCTACTTCACTTGGCCCTCATTAACATTCTTGTGTTGGAAAAAAGAGAAGGGAATACTATTCTATTGACAATGAATGTATGTAACTTTTTCTCTCTTTTCCTACTTTTGCGTTTTCTAGTGGGGAGGGGCAGTTGCAATAGGAAGGCCTTTTGTCCAAGTTGGGGAGAGAGCAAATATGTGGAGAATAGCATATTTGGGGAAGAGAATTAATTTAGAAATTTTTCTTTCTTTTTTTTTTTTAAGATTTCATTTCTTTATTCATGAGAGAGAGAGAGAGAGAGAGAGAGAGAGAGAGAGAGAGAGGCAGGCTCCATGCAGGGAGCCCGATGTAGGACTCGATCTCGGGACTCTAGGATCACATCCTGGGCCTAAGGCAGGTGCCCAACCGCTGAGCCATCCAGGCTCCCTTAGAAACTTTCAAAATAGTCCTATTATTTTCCTTCATGATTTTGATATGTTGGCACTCAGAAGGTACATACTGATTTCATATTAAGGAGATTTTCTCCTGTTGGTACTTTCACTTTGGACCAACCAAAAGTTTTTTTTTGCTACTATCCAATTTAATTTAGTCATAAGAAAAATGAAAATCTAATGGCTTGAGGTAGATTACTCCTTATATACTATTACATTCTAAAAAACAAAACCTTTAGGAATAGGGTAAACGATTTTTTTTTTTAGGTTGGAAATCTCATTTCCAAATGCTGGTCTAATGATGCAGCCAATGTTAAAACAGTGGACACATATTAAATAAACATTTAATTCTGCCTATTTTTGTAAATCTTTAATAATACAGATTTTTTTTCTGTATCTTCTGATTTATGTTTCTGTATAGTCAAAGGTACTAGTTCTAATAACACTTTTGGAAATCTTTAATGTTATATTAAAAATATTAAGTGTATTCCTTAAATTCTAATTAGCATAAGAACTGTGATTCTACTTAGCATGAACTCATTTGAGAAAGAAAGTGATGCCTTTGCCCTTTTAATCTGGTTTTCATTATTCTTTGTGATCTTTTATTCTATGATACAGAAATTAACTGCTTTCTTTTTTCAGATTATGATCATGCACTGGCCATGATTAGATAACCCGATTATTATAAAGATATATTATAACCTGAAGAAGTGGTTTGTGAATTTTTTTATCTTTTTAAAATGTTGTTTTTGGTTAATGCAATCAGAGTGACGTATTTTTGATTATCTCAATAGATGAAGAATAACTACATTCTTTCCAACCTTTTTAGCTCCCTCTTATTTGCTTACACTTCTTACCTCCCTCTAAATTGCCTCTTTTTATTCATTATCTATGAAACAAATCACTGTAGTTGGATTCTTATTATCCACATTGTCTTTTTCTTGGCCAGTTTTGCATTGATATTAGCTATTGTGTATTTTCATTTGTAGAATGAAATTCAGAGTTTTCCTGAGTTTGTCAGTACACTATACTCTCTAAGTGAGGATGCTTTTTTTTTTTAAAGATTTTATTTATTTATTCATGAGAGCCACAGAGAGGCAGAGGCAGAGGGAGAAGCAGGCATTCCACAGGGAGCTTGATTTGGGACTCGATCCCAGGACCCCGACATCACGTCCTGAGCTAAAGGCAGAGGCTCAACCACTGAGCCACCCAGGCTTCCCTTGGGGACTCTTTTTTACTGGATTTCCTGGAGCCATTTTCAAAGTTAGGAAAGGAAGTAAAGTTCATAGAAAATAGATGCTACTATGTTAGTAGTTTATTTACTGGCTGTGATTAGGTAAAAGGAAGTAAAGGACAGAAGAAGGAAGAAACACTGCAAACCTTACACTTCAAAGGAGTCAATCAGATTTGCTGTTGAAGAGGATAGCCAAAGAGTAATTTGGAGGCACTGTGTCTGGGATTAGGGAAAAATTAGGGTGGTGAGTGAATGAGTGAGTGTGTATATCTGGTGGTGGTAGATTATAGCAGGAAGAGGTGCCAGAGGAAGAGGAGATGGGGCTCAAAGCAAACTTTTTTTTTTTTTTAAGATTTTATTTATTTATTCATGAGAGACAGAGAGAGAGAGAGGCAGAGACATAGAGGGAGAAGCAGGCTCCATGCAGGAAGCCTGATGTGGGACTCCATCCCAGAATTCCGAGATCACGCCCTGAGCCAAAGGCAGACACGCTCAACCACTAAGCCACCCAGGTGTCCCTCAAAGCAAACTTTTATTTGTAGTTTTACTTAGAGCCTTGAGATCATTTGGTACTTGTGATAAACATCTTACTTGGCACTATGTATTTGGGAGCCTAAGACTTCTCTATTCAGTGTAGACTGTGTATTTCTAATTTATATTCCCCCTTTCCTTTTACGTTTTGTGCCCTCAGAAGATTTATTATATCTAATATTCTTGGATGTGCTTATTATGTCTCTTAGAATAGTGAAGGTTCTTAAAATATTTCTAGGTCTTGAGCAATATGTTTAAGTTTTTTTTTAAGAAACAAGCATTATCTCAATAAATCATACTTATTCAGAGGGTAGATTTTTATTAAAAGATGACACAAATATCCAAAGTTATATAATCAGTGAACAGGATAAAATTAAGATTTATACCCAGATCATTTGTCTCCTGAACTTGTACTCTTAATCACAATATGATCAAATTGGAGTTTCTTTCCTCAAAGAACAAAATTTTAATGTCAAGCCAAGTTCTTGATCTCTTGTATTAGAAAACAATAGCTCTCTGATATATGACTTTGAGGTTTTTAAAACATGGTATGACTTCCCGTTTGTCTTCTTTTAATTTCATACTTCTTTTCATGAAGTTTTTTTTAAAGGTTTATTTATTTTATTTTATTTTTTTTAATTTTATTTTATTTATTTTATTTTATTTTATTTATTTTATTTTATTTTATTTTATTTTATTTTATTTTATTTTATTTTATTTTATTTTATTTTTATTTTTTTAGGTTTATTTATTTTAGAAGAGAGAGAATGAGAGCATGCCCCTGTGCAAATGCCAGCAAGCAGGGGGAGGGGCAGAAGGAGCGGGAGAGAGAATCTCAGGCAAATTACCTGCCCATCAGGGAGCCCAAAATCAAGAGTCAGACTCTCAATCCAGAGCCACCCAGGCACCCATTCTTTTCATGATGGTTTGCACATCTTCTGTTAGACCTAGGACTTAGAACAGGGTTCATCAAACTACAGCTCAAAGGCCAAATCTGAACACTGCTTGTTTTTATAACACTCAGGAGCTGAGTGAGAATGCTAGTTGCGAATTTTATAAATAGTTGGAAGAAATCAGAAGAACAGTTTTTAATGTCTTGTAGAATTACATGAAATTGAAATTTTAGTGTTCATAAATAAGATTTTGTTGGAGCATAGCTATATTTATTCATTTAAGTATATAACTGCTTTTGCACTAAAAATGGCAGAATTCATTTTTCCAGTAGAGATTATATGGCCCATAAATTCTACAATATATTATCTGTCTCTTTATAGAAAAAGTTTGTCCACCCCAGGTAGAAGTTTGTTTCATTATATATCTCAGAGTTTCTTTGTACCTTGGGGTGGAAGTGATGTTTCAGGCTGCTTTTCTTTACCTCTGTCTCCAGTTGTGAGGAGACTTAAACTCCTAATAAGTCACTGTTCCCAAAGCATGTTACATCCTTTAGATACGTGTGGACAGACAAAATGCTGAAGGCTGTTGATGTCATGTTTCATGTAATAATCACTGTACCTTTTTTTTTTTTTGGTATTTTGCATTTTAGGATCTAATAAAATACAACCTAATTTGCCTATTTACTGATTTCCTCTTTTATAGGAAATTAAGAGAGAGACAGAACCCAAGGATGATAATTTGCCCATTAAACGGGAAAGACATGGGAATGTAGCAAGCCTTGTACAACGAATAAGCACCTATGGACTTCCAGCTGGAGGAATTCAACCACATCCACAAACCAAAAACATTAAGAAGAGTATGTGATTGATTTCTATGTGAATAAATCAAAATGAAGGATGTTTTACTGTGACTGTTTATAAGTTAAGAAAAATTAGCTTCACCTTTTGCAGCGGACTGTAGAAACTTTCTGCATATTCACATGTTACTAGTTACTGGCCTTTGTAGTCATTTTTCATACGATAATTGAGCATGAGCTGCTGACAGCTATTTGTAGGAATCATAAATTCGAATATGAGGCTTTGTTTTGTTAGCCTTCTAGATTCTTTTGAATAGTTGATGTTTTGCCTTAAATTTATTTTGATACCATTTATATCTTTTATGCCATGTATGCTAAGATGTCTGCTCATCGTTAAGCAGTATAGATACAAGCATTTCGAGAGTACATTTTCTTCATTGGTTAGACAGCCAAACATAACACATTCAGTTTCCCAACGTGATTGGCCCCAAAGAGTCCTTTTAAGTACTTAATACTCTATAAATATGTTAGAACATTTTAACATAGAGGGAGAACACCGCATTTGAAATCAGACATGAATTTGAGTCCATCTTATGACCCTAGATCATTTATAATCTAATGAGTTTTTTTTGTTGCTGGTGAGAAAATGGGGGGAAAAAAACAGGTAATACTGCTTTTTTTCAAAAAACTTAGAGCATTGAGAAGGACTGTTATTAAAAAAAATATTAAACATTGAACACATACAAAGTACAACCTTTTAGGGGAGCAGATAGTATTTTAACATAGTAAGACCTGAAGCCACCTGATAGACTGAATACAATACTGATTACTATGATTAACTTGAGTCAATAAGTAGTAAATGAGTATTTTAACCACATTTATCTTAAGTCAGTATCTTTGATATTGTGGTCATAAATCCTGTGTGCCACCAAGTAGTCTACAGTAAAAAAATTTGTTTAAATACATTTTACAAATACAAGACCATTATGATTATAGAGTCTCCTTTTATCCTGTTACTTTCTGTGCTAATGTCTGTGAAGTTTGGGAGAAACCTTTACTTTCTGGGTTCTATCATCCTTTGATTATTTTCATAAAATGAAAACAGATTTTCATAAAAATGAAAAAGATTTCATGACAGTAAGACCAATTAAAGGATTCTATGTTGTTTCCCAGTAAATGCAGTATACAAAGAATATGTAGTTAGATATTACCTATACTGCTTTCCCACTACTGCCTGAAGGTAGAAAGTTTTCAGTAGTTTTAATTGTCCTGGATGCTTAGACTCTATTTGTTTAGAGACTGTGAAACAGATTTCAGAGAGTATTTCATATCCTCCAAGTACACCTCTATAGAATTTTTGTGCACAGGAGAATTTTTAGGCCCTTGGGAGAGTTATTTATGACCTCTGTCTATTATAAAATCTATTTACTACTTTCTTTAGCTTTACTAAGCTATCAAGGGACAGTTTTCTAAAGTAGAGGCTAGACAGAGGACTTCAAGGTTATGATTATTTTATTCATTTTGTCTTCTAATAGGAAAGGAAACACTAAATTTTACCTTCCTCAGGAACACTGGTCATAATCCTTTTTCTAGTAAAAGGAAAAACCATTATGTAGTTGGTGCCAGGAGGCTTAGACATTTTCCTAAGGATCCTCTACAGCGTGTTTTTAAGTGCATGTGCTGCAAGGACTAAATTGGTCATTTGGTGCTAGCTAACATGTAAAACAGGATGCAGGTTGTTTTTGCTTTCAGATTGATTTCCAGGAAAAGCAAGCTAATGTTTTTTTCTTAACCTGATTTTTTTTTTATTGTTTGTATCATATCCTTAATTCATAAGATAGACCAGTTATTCAAAAGGTGGTTTATTGTAGTGGATACTGCTGTCCAATATTACTAATAAATTTAAAAAATTGTTAAGGTTGATAATAATAATCACTGCAGTGTGAATGTTCAATTTTAATCTCTGTATGCCAGTACAAGTGAATATGCATGTGTATTGAATTTTACTTAAGCAACTAAAAGCTCTACATACTGTGGTGGTAAGTGTCTGGAAATTGGGCTTATTAGCTATTTTTCTCTAGTCTCTCAAGCCAAAAAAGTGTTGACTTTTTTGGTGAAGTCTAGTCAGAGAGCCGTTGAAAAGTTAATCGTAATTACTATGGTAAAACAAATGGGTATTTTTTTAAGGTGGGCACAGAATAATGTTTTCCAGGACAATACTTAAGTTGGTAAAATTATAGAAGAGAAAGATTTATACATCTCATAGCAAAAACCAGTACAAGTTATATTGCAGAATTTTAAAATCAGGCATGAGAAATAATGTTGTGGAGTAAAATTACTTAGAGAATTAAATAATGGACATCTTTTAGCATCATAGCTGTGTATTCGTTCAGTGTGGAATATTAATAGATATTTCATTTTGCATTTGGAAAAAATTGATGGCAGACATGAATCTCCTCTTACTGTAAGTGAGGGAAGACTTCAGTGCTTCTGACTTTGTTTTCTTATGAGTGGAAGCTCATACGGAGGTGGTTTTTATCTAGTTATTATTTTGAATGTAAAAGATATATTTAGATTGATACTGATAGATCACTAGCAGTTGCTACAGAAATGATGTTGCTGTATGAAAAATTAGTTGACCAGAATGCCAATCTTTAATGTTTCATTTCTAGAAAACAGTTGGTAGCAAATAGTATGCCTCCTGATTTTGAGTCAGTGCTAAAGAAAATAATGAAAGTTCTGAATACCTTAAAATACGGTTACTGGCTATACATTTTTACAGCATACATTTTAAAAAAACAGGGGCATGTTAATATTAGCTTAGGCTCTGTTCTTTGATAGTAAAATATTTTGACTCAAAAGGGGATAAAGATTCTGAATTGACTCCTCCAGCTACATCTTCTCAAATGAATGAGTTAGGGTGTTCTATTTTCTTTTGAAATCTTATAGAAAAGTTGAAAGAATAATTGTGCAATGGATATTTTATACACTTAAGTTTGTTTACTGTTAATATTTTACACATGGTCTTTATGTCTGTGTATATAATAAAATACATTTTTTAACTGAATCAGTTGAAACTATAGTATAGACATGGTACCTTGTCCCTGGTCACATGAGTTTCTTATGATGATGATAACAGTATCTTCTAAGATTTTGATTGTTTTAATCAAGCAGTGTATCAACAGGATAGCTAAAATCTTCGAACAGCTTAAATCTTTCAATTAATAGTCTTAAGAAGTATGAGATTTTTTATTACTGAGGATAAGAAAAAAAATTTAAATAAGATTCAGCCATATAGCAATGGCTCTGTTTTTAGCATTTGATTATTTGCTTACTGGAGAAAGAAATGGACAAAAAAATTCTCACATTAGAAAAATTTAAACACTGCAGTAAAACATGAAGATGTAATTTCCAGAACCAAATGGAACCAAAAGTGGATCAGGAATCGTTCTGCTACTGTCAGTGAAATTTTAGCATTCAGCCTCCCAGCTTCTGACAGTGGTATGTTTTCCATTTTAGTATTTGATGGGGAGATTGAAAATCATGATCTTAAATGAGAAATGGTTCCATAATTAAGAGCTCTGTTTGATTTGAATATTTGGGTCTGTTTTTTCAGAACCATGAAAATATTTGCCATTCTTGATGGGCCTACATTTGAAAACTTAGGATTTTCTATTTTAGTAGGAAAAATAGGAAGTAACTTTATTGAGTGTAAAATTTTATAGAATTTGGGTTTTTCCCCAAAAAAATACAAAGTATTTTTTTTAAGTTTTTTTGAAAAGTTTTTTTTTAACATTGATATGCTGAATGCTTTAATACCTGAATTTGAAGACCGTGAGAACAGTGTTATGTGGGCAATCAAATCTACCAAATAAAACCTGGGAATGGTTAATGATCAAAGACTTGCAGTCCAACGGAAAACATCAAATTACTATAAAACCGAGATGATAGTGATAATTACCTCATAGGTTTTAGAGGTATCAACACATCAAGTAATATTAAAAGTAAATATTAAATATTGAAGTCCTCAATAAATGTTTGTTATTATTATTATTATAGTGTTTATACTATTAAGAACCATGTTAGAGATGTATAAAGTATGCAGCTATGATTAAAATAAAGGGGGCAGTTCTGTACTGGGTTGTCAAGCAAGGTATATTTAAGCCTTTTAGGTAAGACAGGTCATTCACCAGATAGGAGATTGTGACATTACAGGTAGAATTGCTGCCTTTGAAGAGGACCCTAGTGCAAGATAAGGAAATACATTGTATTTACAAGTAGTAAGGATCTGGCAGGACTAGATTTTAAGAGCTATGTGAAAGCACTTTGTAATCTGTTAAGGAGGCAGCATTGGTAAAGTGGAAAGATAAAAGATGTTAAGAGTCATATGTGGGTATATTCTAGTTTTGCCTCTTTTTAGCTCTGTGGTCTTGGACAGATTCCTATTTTCTCATTGGGAAATGATGATGATAACAAGCTTTATTGTTTATTGCTGGGGAGGTATTTGCAAAGGATTTAGAATAGTACTGGTACATAAAAGGCATGGAAGTCTATCCCTGCTTTTGCTTTACCTCCTTTATATTCTTCCTTAATAGCTTTACTTATGAAACACCGATTTGACAAGTTTTAGTTCTTTGTAGATCTGAAAAGCTATATAGAGGTTGCTTATGACAAAATACTGGTTATAGTTATTTTAAAAATTGACCTCTTCAGACATCCCTTTATTGAGTAGTCTTGTACATACTGTTTTCTTTTGTGCTTAGCAGAGGTTCTGATACATTGTAGAAATTGAGTAAATACTTATTGACAAATATGTGTAAGCAGATACTGTATATTGCCATTTGGAAATGTAAAAAATCTCAAAGTTGCTTTAATTGTGCTGGCAACTAATAGATGAATTCAATATAGGCAGTCATTTCACCTTAAGAGTAAACCATATTTAAATATGAAATCATGAAATTTTTTTCTTTTTTTATATAAATGGCTCATATTTTATAGTAATAATAGGGGCTGTTGAGATATTTTTATCCAATGTGACTCTTTCCTTTGGGGGAAAATTATTTCCAGATAATTTAGAAACTACTTTGGAAAACACTGGTGAATTTATACTTAGTGTGAACAGGGGAAAAAAACTACAAATTCAGTTTCTGGTTAAGATATAATAGGCTTCTCAAAGTTAATTGATATCCTTGGGTACCAGGAAGCTAATTAATATTCTTTATCTACTTTTACATCATTTAAGATATTGGTATTCATTAAAAAGCAAGCTACATTTTTTTTTTAAACCCTAAGACGATCAAATGATAGGATTTCCTTTGAAGTGCATCCTGAGCAGAATAGAATTTCTTTTCAGTAATGTAGATTGTTTCTCTTTCATTTGTGAAGTGCTAACTACAAAGACCACATTTTTGGACACATTCTCTCAAGCTCACTTCAACTTCCCAAATTATTTAGGGACTATATTTATCTATAGTGTAAGAGATGAGTAGTTTTCTTGCAGTATGCCTAAAAGACAATATTAAATTATTACTTAAACATTTACTCAGCTATGATGAAAGGTGACATTTGAAAAACCTTTTACTGTAAACTCTAGGTTAGTTACAAAAGTATGATCAGTATTTACTTTCTTTGGTTTCTTCTGTTGTAAAACATTTTAAAAATTAGATGTAATTATTCCATTATGAAATAGGGGAAACAATTACTGAGGTGTAAGTGTTTATTTGGAGACTCTAGATTCTCCTTTGTGATTGTCATATCTGTTTTGCACCTCTTTAATGGTATTGATTGTATGTAATATGCTTCTTTTATTGTTTTGGAGGTTCAGTTGGATTTGTTTTTTGTTTTGATAAACAACTTCATAGATCCATAGAATGTCATAGCTAAAGTTACTGTCATGGCTGTCTAGTCCAGCTCTTCTATTTTGTCATTCAGGACATTGATTCCCAGAGAACTTAGGTCAAATAACAAGGAAGTGACAGTTGTACTAGAACGTAAGTCTTTGGACTTTAAAGTTAATGTTATTTCTTTTATAGCATGGCATCTCCCCCCACCCCACCTCCCTTTTTAAGCTTTATTTATTTATTCATGATAGACACAGAGAGAGAGAGAGAGAGAGGCAGAGACACAGGCAGAGGGAGAAGCAGGCTCCATGCCGGGAGCCCGATGCGGGACTCGATCCCGGGACTCCAGGATCGCGTACTGGGCCCAAGGCAGGCGCCAGACCGCTGAGCCACCCAGGGACCCCCTCCCCCCACCCCTTTTTAACTACATACAAAAGTTTATTTGGAGATGTTACGACATGATATGATGTAGTGAAGTATCTATCTAGACTGCTTCTCAGCATTCCCTTTTGTTGTCAGCAACAACAACCTCTTTAGAACCCTTGTATAGCAACTCCTGTTTCCTTGGGAAAACTTTTTTATCTAGAATATCTGTCACATCTTTTCTACCTTCTTGTATTGTGTTCATCTTTAATTGTGTAACTCTTTTACCATTTCTTCTTTGAATTCTTCTACATCTGCATCAGTTCAAACCTGTCTTTTCTATTAATTTTTTGGAATATTTGTAGTTTGCTCTAAATATTTACTATCTCATTATGTTATTTTTATTTTATTACTAATTGTTACTGTTTCCTAAGTTCTTTTAGTTCCTTAAGCGTACATTTAAGTTAAGAAAAATCTTAGGATTGTTAGTGGTAAAGGGTTGATGGAATGTAGATACTCTTGGCATGATAATTTCTTGGCATTGATGCCATATGATTAGGCCTAGATAATTGTCTATTCATTCAAAAATATTTAATGCCTATACTAGGAACTAGGGAGAGAGCCGAGAGCAATTAAACTTGCCCATTTATCTTCAGCCTACAGAGTATGGGGAGTACGCAAGAAAATAAAACATTATGATAGAATAAAAAGGAAAAAGTAAGTTGTTAATAACAGGTAGGTTACAGAAGTAAATAGTTTAAGTATGGGGTGCTATAGAAGCACAAAAGAAGAATATGTAATCCAGAAAGCCATTTGGGAAGAAGTTTCTTCTTAGTTGAGATCTGAAGTTGAGTTGAAGACAGAGAAAGGTGGACTTTGTGGATGGAAAGTAAAGGGTTATTGGCAAAAGAAACAGTATATTTAAATCTTAGAAGGAGTAGAGCTTGTCATTTTCGAGCAATTAGAAATCAGTATAATTTGATCAGTAAGTGCAAGATTGAAAATCACCTAGGGGATCTGAAGCTGCAGATTCTGATTCAGCCTGCTAGGGCTACCATAACAAAATACCCCAGACTACGTGGCTTAAACAACAGAAGCTTATTTCTTATAGCTCTGGAGGCTAGAAATCTAAAATCAAGGTGCTATCAGAGTTGGATCTTGATGAGGCCTCTTTTCCAGACTTCCAGGTAGCTAGCTGTCTTTCCCTCTGTATCTTCACATGGCCTTCTATGTGTATGTGCTCACATGCACACGTACACAATTAAGTGTGTTGGGGTATTAGGGCTCCACTTTTGTGACTTTATTTAACTGTAATTACCTCCCCAAAGGCCCTACCTCCCAATATTGTCAAGGACACAATACAGTCCATAACGGGTAGGTCTGAAGGTAGAGCCTGAGATACTTCATTTCTTTGTTTTTTTTTTTTTTTAGATACTTCATTTCTAAGAAACTTTGAAGTGATACTGTTGCTGCTGATCTGAGGAACATACTTTGAGTAGCAATAAGTCATCCTTTAATCAGTTATACCTGATTGTCTACCCATAGGTGCTTTAATGATTCAGTTTTTTTTTATATTTATTTAAAATATAAAGATTTAAAAAAATCGTTTTTTTTTTTTTTTTTTTTTTTAGAAAAAATTTTATTTATTTAAGAGAGAGTGAGCACAAATGGGAGGGAGGGGCAGAGGGAGAGGGACAAGCAGACTCCCCACTGAGCAGGGAGCCCAACCCTGGGTTCAGTCCTGCATATTGGGATCATGACCTGAGCCAGACACAAGTACTTAACCAAATGAGCAAGCCGGCTTCCCCAGTGATTCAGTTTTAAAGATGGGAGTGAGTCTGGGTTCTCAACTCTTAAAAGACTTTGAAAGAAGTTGAGAAACACAAGACTGGATGGTTGTAAATGATCATTACTTATGTGAATAAATGAAGCTTGTTTGAAAAGTTAAAATTATTATCTTTACCTATGTGAGTTTAATTTTTATCTGTCAGAAAATAGAGCTCTTTGAAGATAAGATACATTTTGGATTTGTTCATTTTGGGTCTTTTTAACAACAGACATTCTTAAATTTTAGTGCATTTTGGGTATTTTCAGTCTTTGATCAGGAAGTAGTCTAAAAATTACTGGCTTGGAAGACAGCTTGTCTGTGAAGAAATTTGTTGTGTGAACTGTGTCTTTATTGTTTATATTTTTAGTCTCAAAATTGGCATTGGATATTTTACTTTGGTCTAATTGGTGGGATCAGTTGTATAAATAGATTTCATGGCCGGGAGCCTGTACCTTATTTGTAGTTGGTCTAAATTTATTTTGGCATGTGTAGATTGTAATGTGAGAGCAAGGTGAAAAGCCAACCAGAGCTACTGTGGTTAGCTGCTTAGAATGCTTACATGCATAAGAATTCTCTGACAGTCAGTGTGGTATAGAAATAAAGATGATGTTGTTTGTTTTAATGATCTTTCTTAACCTAATCTTTTGCTATTTCATTTCTTTTAGAGACCAAGAAGCGTCAGTGTAAAGTTCTCTTTGAGTACCTTCCACAAAATGAGGATGAATTGGAGCTGAAAGTGGGAGATATTATTGATATTAATGAAGAGGTAAGGAAAACATGTGCTAGAGATAAAGCAGCAATTGGAATTGATGCTCTGGGTATTAGAAAACTGCTTTATAAGAATATTAATTTTTAATTAGAATTTTTTTGCCACTTTTGTATTTTATAAAAATCTTAAGATACAGGTTTAAAAATGGATCTTTAATGGCTTAATGCAAGGTTTTTTTATCTGTTGTAATAAATTCTTATTCATTCTTACTATACCTGATATTTGTGTACTGTTTTTGTGTGTGTTGACTTTAGGAATAAAAATTTTTTTAAGCTAAAGATTAATGTAATCTAAGTAGCTAAGAATAAAAGTAAACATTTTCTTTCATTCTGAATTCACTTTAGGCCCAAAGCAGTAAAATAGAAGGAATTTTGTCTTTTGCATAGCAGAGGGATACAAAAACAGAATATTATAAAAGCTTTGCCTTGTTTGAATTATCACATTCAAATGTGAATCAAAACCACTTTTCTCACATTTTAATATCTTAGAATGAGATTTTAAAATATGGTAGACATAACTTTTTTCATATCTCTGCTTTTATCGTTAAGAGAATATTAACAATTTATTTGGCATTGAAGATCTCATTTTCAAAGTATATGTTTTGATATCATATAGTCATAGAGATTGATATCATAACATCCATGTAATGTAATTTATCACTTAATGTTTATATTAAATTCCAATGTATTTATATAAGACAGTTTTGTTTCCATCAGGTGGCAATATTAATAATGTTTATTGAGACTCTATGTCTGAAGCATTATGCTAAGTGTTTCACATTTATTATTTTAAGTTTCTAAACAACCTAAGGAGACAGGAATTTTTATATCCATTTTATATATGAAGAGATGGAGTCATGGAAGATAAGTGATTGGCTGTACTGGTTACTGTTGCTGTGTAACATGCTGGCCCAAACTTTGTAGCCAAGAACAGCTGTTTTATTAGGTTCATGTGTTGTGTGAGTCAAGAATTCAGGTAGGGCACAGTTGGCATGGCTATGCCTCTGTTCCGTAATGCCTGGGGCCTCATCTGGAAAGACTCAAAGTTTGGGTGCTGGTGGAATTGGTACCTAGAAGGCTTGAAGACCGTTTCTGGAGACTATTAGGTAGCTTCTCCCTTTGAGTTCGCTTTCTCACTTGGACTTACTGCATGGCATTTCAAGGCTCTTAGTGACTAACAAACATTTCAGTGAGTATGGTGATAGCCTTTTATAATCTGACCTTGGAAGTGATAGTGTCACTTTCACCACATTCTTGGGTACAAGCATGTCAAAAGCCAGCAAGGTTGAAGGTGGTGGGGACAAAGACCACCACTTCTTCATGGAGTGTTAGGATTACCTTGTAGATGATCATGTGGGATAAGAGAGCTTGTTTCAGCCATTTTTGCCCAAGTCCATACATATAGGATGCAGAAGAGTCAGAATCCAAATCCACATAGTTTGAGTCATTATTCTTTACTGCTATCTATCCTGCCTCTTAAGAATTCCTTAGTTCATAGGAATTATAAGGTTATTTACCTTAACTACTCAGGTGGTGCCAGTTTGGGATTGCAGTGTAGATAATTGGGTTTCCTGATGTTTTTCTCAATTTTATCTGTTGCTTTTTGGTCACCATATCTATCATCATGGTTTGAAGAACTCTCAATCCTGTGGTGTCTCCTTAAGTCTGCAAAAAAATTCTGAACTCCTCACTCTTACTGCCTTCCATTTCTCTCTCAAACCCCTTCTATTCTAGCCATCTTGTATTTCAGCTGTATATATTCCAGGAATAATTCCTTTATTTTTATGTCACCATATTTATCACTTGCTTTGTAACTGGAAAAGTCTTATTCAGCCTTTAATATCCAGCTCTTTTGTCATTTCCTTTTAGGGGAACCTTTTTTGAATCTTTTAAGTCCTCTCTTGTGCTCTTATAGCATTTTGTTCATAACTTTTGTTGTAGCACCTCTTACATTATATTGTAACTATCTGCTTAGTGTTTGTTTTCTTCTTTAGATTGTTTCACTCCAGGGCAGAGATTTCTCATATGCAAATTTCAGTCTTTTACAAGCAGTTAACATCTTGGCTTACACATAGTGTGAGTGCCTGTTGGTTGAATAATTTACTAAAGTTTGCTTTGTAATTCTGAATTAAAACAGATTTTAAACAGAATAAAGGGCCTTTTCTAGTAGTGTTATTTCATGTACTACTGTGATGTGAATTTTAACAGTGTATAGTTTACTTAAATTTTTTTTACCTATTAATATCTTTTAGCATCCGTAGCAGAAATTATATATTTTAAAAGTTATTAAATAGTATTAACCATGAAAATTAGTAACTTTGATATTAGTGAATATATATATTTTTCTTAAGAGTTTGGTTTCTGAGGATATTTCTGGTTGAGGTAGGGAGAAGTGTTTAGGGGAGCCTAGCATTTGGATTTTAAAAATGAATGATTTTTTTTCTTACTTGGATTAAGATTCACTGTTTAAGTTAAAGGTTTAGTAATTTTATGTTCCATTTGGGAAGTTATATTCTTGTATTCATCAACCTTTTTCCAAATCAGAATTTTCATCTACTTAAATAATATATGAAATATATTACAAATATTGAAATAATTACAAAGGGAGGCTCAGTAGGGTTAAAAGAGTGATGTTCCAGAAGAGAGCTATGTACTTCCTGCTATTAATACCTTATTCTGGGTTATCTGATATTTTTATAAAAATTATTTACATCATGGATTGCAATTGATTACAAATTCTCATTGTAAATGTTGTAAAGTGCTCCTGATAATGACTAATTGATCAGTCTAATCAATTTAGATTTAATCTACTTACAAAATGTTTTTCACCGTTGTTTTCTTACAGATCTAAGGGGATTATTTTGCATAACTAACTTTGTGCTCATTCAGTTATGTAGCTTAATTTTCCCATAGCAGGAAGATTTTCAACTTTAGAGAAATTTTTATTATTTTTGAGTTGTGAACTCTTTCAGGTAGAAGAAGGCTGGTGGAGTGGAACCCTGAACAACAAGTTGGGACTGTTTCCCTCAAATTTTGTGAAAGAATTAGAGGTAACAGATGATGGTGAAACTCATGAAGCCCAAGAGGATTCAGGTAGATTATTTTAAAAATTTGAATAGATTTAAATAAAATTATATATGATCTAGTGTTTGGTGTTTTTTGGAAACTGTTCTTGTTGAACTATGATCTAATTTTTTTCTACTTTTAAAAAGCAGCTTCTGACAGGGACTTAAAAGAACTAAATATCCAGGCAAATAATTTAATATCTTTTCCTTCTTTGAAGTCGACTTCAACCCAAACTAAATGTTTAGTACCCTGATTATGAATTGATACTACTTAGGTTAATCTGATTTCTTCCCACTTAAGATGTCCTAATATAATGTTTTAATTTGAGTTTGCAAATGGCCTAACTACTTCAGCGATTTTAGAAATTAAAAAAAAAAATCTTGCTTTTGTTTTTGTTCATATTCAGATAATAAGTTACATTTTTTTGTGTAGCTAGAATGTCATTTAATTATTTTGTGATTGCCCTCATTTATAGGCTCACCCACAAATTCATCTTAAATTAAAAGTATGAGAACAGGGACGCTTGGGTAGTTCAGTGGTTGAGCGTCTGCCTTTGGCTCAGGGCATAATCCCAGGACTCTGGGGTCGAGTCCCACATCAGGCTTCCTGCATGAAGCCGGCTTCTCCCTCTGCCTATGTCTCTGTCTCTCTCTCTGTCTCTCATGAATAAATAAATAAAATATTTTTTTTAAAAAAAGTATGAGAATATTTTATCCCAAAGCTAAATTTAAGAATTTTTGAGAATTGCTATGGAATTTGGTTGTTTTTTTTTTTTTCAAGGTCTATTTATATTTTAGAGACAGAATGTGTGTGCATGATCAGAGGGAAGTGGAGAGGGAGGGAGAATTTCAAGTAGACTGCACTGAGCATGGAGCACGATGTGGGACTTGATCTCACAACCCTGAGATCATGACCTGAGCTGAAACCAAGAGTCTGACACTTAACTGAATGAGCCATCCAGGTGCCCTTGTTTTGTTTTATTTTTTAAGAGAGATTAAATTCATAAGTGGTAATGTAGGGATAAGTAGGTCTTTTTCTGTATGGAAAAATATGTGTAGTGAGGTTCAGTATATTTATGAAAATCAAGACATTAAATATTGGCAGTATTTAATATTGATAATATTTTTTAATCTGTAGTTCACATACAGATTTAATTGTTCTAGTAAATGCTTTATATAGCTATTTTTTTTTCCCCCAATTCCAAACAAGACCTTGCAGGAAATTTATTTCTCAAGTTTCTCTGGAATAGTTTCCCAGTCTTTCTTTGTTTTTCTTGACAGTTTTGAAGAGTTTAAGCTGATACTTTATATAATGGATCCCAGTTTGGACTTTCTTTCTGATTTTTCATGATTAGTTTCCGGTTGTATTTTATTAACAGGGTTACAAAATTATGATATCTCATTGCATTGTATCAGGAGGCACAGAATGTGTGCTTTATTTTTGGTGATATTAAATTTGATTACTTTGTTGAAGCTGTGATGCCATTGTAAGTGTACTTTTGTTTTTCTGTATAACTGATAAGCATCTTGTGGGGAGATACTTTGAGACTGTAAATATCTGTTTCCTCATCAAACTTCACCCAACAGTTTAAGCATCCATAGATAAATTTGCCTGAATCAGATACTTTAATGGTATTTGCAGAATGATGATTTTCTGACTCCATCCCATCTTTGTTTATTGATATTCCTCTCTGAAGAGCTTTTCTTGCTGCTCAGTTTTTGTTTATTAGTGTGGACTCACTGGTGAGTTCTGTTTACTCACTAGGTATTAATCAGTTACTGTTACTTATTTTGGCTTGTGAAAGCTCCTTCAAATTAGTTTGTGTGATTTTTTTTAAAAAATCAACTTTATTGGAAATATACATACAATAAAGTGCCTATCTAAAATATACGGTATGATGAATTTGACAAATGTCTACATCCATGAAAACCACTGACACAATAAATGTACAAAACATTTGCATCACCCCTAAATATTCCTCATTCCCTGATACAGTCCATCTCTTTTACTGCCTCTGGTCTCAGGTGACCATAGGTCTGCTTTTTTCTCATTTCTCTGCTTTTTTCTCATCTGAGTTTGCATTGCCCTGTCCTCTGAACAGGTCTTCATCATTGTTTGAGCACTTTGTTACTTTTTAATACAAAATATTCCAGGCTCATGTTGAACTTTCCCTACTTCATCCTGAAATCAGCTACTTATCCAGGCACTCTTGGTTTCTTTTAGAGAAGTATAGTAGTTAAACACTGAGATCTGAGCACAGGTGTGCTCATTGAACTTGGAGTGATATTGCTTCTGGGCACTTTTAGTAGATAAAACTGGGGAATGATTACACATGTACAAACATGCATTTCTTTTATCTCTACCTACATGCCTACCTATTTCTACTGGTACCTCTAATTCTAGTTTAATACCACAAGGTACATTCTAGTCTACAGTGATTTCATCTTTTGGCCTATCAGCCATAGAGCGAATGAAATAAATAATTGAGTTTGCTTTTATATTTAATCATGAGAGAACTAATGCTTAAAAAGCAGCATTCGGATCTTTGATGTTATCAGTAGATTGTTGGGATGAGTATGGAAAAACAACATGAAAACAGTCTCTGAAATGATATACTGGAGACCTTGGATTTTACTTAAAAAGCAGCATTCGGATCTTTGATGTTATCAGTAGATTGTTGGGATGAGTATGGAAAAACAACATGAAAACAGTTTCTGAAATGATATATTGAAGACCTTGGATTTTATAAAGTGTCAGGGGAAAATGTGTTACTTTACATAATCATGAAATACTGCTAATTGTTCTGGAAACTAAACCATATAAAACAGATCTAGTAATGATGAATCACATATTAAGGAAAAATTGCCAGTTAACGATTAATAATACCACATTTTCCGGAAAGGGTTTTAGGAATCAATTTTAGTAATAATTAATAGGTAACAGAGTGAAGGTATAAATCAGTCTGGTGAGTAGTTTGAACTCTAATCTTATTTTTAGAATAAAGTAAATGACCTTAGGAAGCAGTCGAGGCCAGTTTAATCAGTGAATGTTTTTTAAGCCTTTATGTGCTTAGTGCTAGGTTGGTTTTGTGAGGGCACAGAATCACCCTCTGCAGTCCAGAAGCTTAAGGTCCTAGCCTCTGGAAGATAGTTAACTCAAACTAGTACATATCAACCTGGAGTAAAATGATCTGAATATCAGAGGTGCTGGTAGAAGATAGATCTAAACAAAATATATTGCTTGTTACTTAAAAAAAAAAAAAAACTTGGCACATTTTCATCTTTTCCGAAATGTTCCAGGAAACTTTAGAAATATAATCTCCAACTCTGCAACTATCTTTTTTTCCTTTTTTTTTTTTTAAAGATTTTATTTATTTATTCATGATAGACACAGAGAGAGAGAGAGACAGAGAGGCAGAGACACAGGCAGAGGGAGAAGCAGGCTCCATGCAAGGAGCCCGATGCGGGACTCGATCCTGGGACTCCAGGATCACGCCCTGGGCCAAAGGCAGGCGCTAAACCGCTGAGCCACCCAGGGACCCTCTTTTTTTCCTTTTTAAAAAGATTTTATCTATTTATTTGACGGAGCGATCACAAATACCCAGAGCTTCAGGCAGAAGGAGAGGGAGAAGCAGGATCCCCTAGGAGCAGGGAGCCCGATGCAGGTCAATCCCAGGAGTCTGGTTGGGATCATGACCTAAACGGAAGGCAGACGCTTAACGGACTGAACCACCCAGGCACCCCTGATTACAACTATCTTAAAGATGTTATTTTCTAAACTCCTGTTCTTTGCTTCTAATTATTCTTCCGCTTGTTTTCCTCTATACAGGCTTTTTTAAAAAATTGTTAATTGTTATAAAAAACATATAGAATTTATCATCTTGACCATTTTCTTAGCATCAATTCAGAAGTGTTATGTATATTCACATTGTCATGCAATAGATCTACAGAACTTTTTCATTTCACAAAATCAAAACCCCATACCCATTAAGTAACTCCTCATTCCTTGCTGCTAGAACCACTATTCCACTTGTTCTACGAACTTGACTACTTTATATAAATGAACTCATACAGTATTTGTTTTTTAGAGATTAGCTTATTTGACATAGCATAATATTTTCAAAATTTGTTCATGTTATAGCATGTGATAGAATTCCCTCTTTCAGATTGAATAATCTGTTATATATATGTACTGCATTTTGTGTAGCCATTTATCCATCCATGGATGTTTGAGTTGTTTTTACCTCTTGGCAGTTGTGAGTAATGCTGCCAAAACATGGGCATACAAATATTTGAGACCTTGTTTTCAATTTAGATAGTCACCCAGAAAAGGGATTGCTGGATTATATACTAGTTCTATTTTTAATTTCTTGGGGGGAAATGCTATATATTTTCCATGGTGTTTGTACCATTTTACACTTCCACCAACAGTTGTATAAGGGTTCTAATTTTTCCACATCCTGAGCAAACACACTTTTTTTTTGACATTAGCTATCCTAATGGGTTTGAGATGATATCTTACTGTGATTTTGATTTGCATTTCTCTAAGGATTGGTGATCTTGAACATCTTTTCATATGTTTATTGACCATTTGTGTATCTCTTCAAGTCCTTTGTTTTTTAATCAGGTTATTTGTGTGTTCTTTTTTCTTTTTGTAATTGAGTTTCAGTAATTCTTTATATATTATGGATATTAATCCCTTATCAGATATATGATATGCAAGTATTTTTCTCCCATTCCATTGTTTTCTTTGATGAGGGAAAGTTTTTTTTTTTTTTTAATTTTATTTATTCATGAAAGACAGAGAGAGAGAGATAGAGAGAGAGAGAGGCAGAGGCACAGGCAGAAGGAGAAGCAGGCTCTATGCAGGGAGCCTGACGTGGGACTCGATCCTGGGACTCCAGGATCATGCCCTGGGCTGAAGGCAGGTGCTAAACTGCTGAGCTACCCGGGCTGCCCTGGTTTTTCATGACAATAGTCTCATTTTTCTATTTTTTCTTCTGTTGCTTGTGCTTTTAGTATCATATA